AAAAGGCTAGAGTGTTTCTTCAGTTCCTTTACAGTGAAGATCATAACAGCAGACCGAAACTTGATGAACTACATTTTAAACAGCTTAGTGAAGAGAGCAGAGTTGGGCTAGAGATTCATTTCTCTGAGGAGGAGGTCCAGGGGTGTATTGATGGGTATAACGGGGACAAAGCTCCGGGTCCTGACGGATTCAATATGAAGTTTTTCCAAATTTATTGGGATGTCATTAAGAAGGATGTCATGGCAGTGTTCAATGATTTCCATAGATTTGGATCCTTTGTTCATTCTCTCAATACTTCTTTTTTAATGATTATCTCCAAGGTGGTTGATGCGAAGGACATTAAAGATTTCAGACCTATAAGCCTTATGGGTAGTATGTATAAGTTGATTTTCAAAGTTTTAGCGAAATGTATGACTAGTGTTCTTGGTGACGTGATTGGGGAGAATCAAAATGCTTTCGTGGAGCGTAGGCAAATTCTCGACGCAGTTATGATTGCTAGTGAGGTGGTGGATGAAATGGTAGGACAGAAAAAAGAAGGAATAATTTGCAAAATTGATATGGGGAAAGCTTATAACCAGTTTTGTTGGGATTTTGTGGATTACATGCTTATGAGATTGGGATTTGGGGGTAGATGGAGGAAATGGATTAGATACTGCATCTCTATTACTTCTTTTGCTGTTATGGTGAATGGCGGACCTCCGTCATTCTTTAAAGCTTCAAGAGGGCTTAAGCAAGGGGATCCCATCTCCCCTCTCTTATTCCTTATTGTTATGGAGACTTTTAGTAGGTTGATGGATCGGGGAACTTGAGTTGGTGAGGGGTATTTCGGTGGGGAAGGGGACTGATATGGTGAGAGTTTCCCAATTATTCTTCCCTGATAATGCTCTGCTTCTGTGTGAACCTGATGTTAACGCTTATTTGCATTTGAGATGTATATTACTCTATTTTCAAACGGTTTCTGGACTGAAGATTAATATGAGAAAGACAGAATTGGTGAGAATTGGGAGTAGAGGGGATGAAAGGAGGCTGGCGCAGGTATTGGGCTGTAAGGTCAACACTTTACCAATCAAGTATCTTGGGATCCCGTTAGGCGCTAAATATAAAAATGTTAATACTTGGGATCCTGCGGTGGATCTTTTTGAGAAAAGGTTGGCGGGGTGGAAAAGGGCATTCTTATCTAAAGTGGGAGGAGGGAAAAGTTTAGACAGATTGGGATGGGGTTATGGAAGAAAATCAGGGAAGGAAACAACACTTTTGAGAAATGTTTGGGTTGACAGGTTGGTAATGGAGAGGATATTCAATTCTTGTTGGATGAATGGTCTGGGGAGTTCTAACTTAAAGATAAATTCCTTAGAATTTTCTATGTGGCCAGTGACAAGGAGATGAGTGTGAAGGCAGCTTATGAAGTTGGTGGGTGGGGGGGGGGGTAGGGGGTGGAGGAGTACGTTGAGCTATTGCTGTGTTTATCTAATAGTAACATAGCCGAGAATAAGGATAAAAGAATTTGGAAGTTAGACAAAAAGATGAGCTTCTCTGTTAAATCATACTATGAATTCATTACTAAGAGAGAGAACAACAGCACCAATTGTGCCCTTTCATACAAATTTGGAAATCTAAAGCACCATTCATAATCAGGTTTTTTGCTTGGGAAGTGGCTAAAGAGAGAATTTTAACAATTAACATGCTTAGAAGAAAAGGGAATGTGCTGATTAACAAGTGCTTCTTATTATGCAAAGCTGATAAGGAGACCTGTTTCCACTTGTTATTAGGCTGCCCTGTCACTTACAACATTTAGTCTGCTGTTCTAAGGCTTATTGGGGTAGATTGGGTTATGGCGGGTAGTGTAAGTAATGAACTTTGGGCTTGGGAGGGTTTGTGTAAAGAAAATGGGAGACATTTATTTCTTATTCCACTTACTATTTTTTGGGTGATTTGTAAAGAAAGAAATGCTAGAACTTTTGAGGGGATAAAGACTAACTTTGGTAACATTAGGGATAGATGGATACACACTTTTGGATCTATCTTGTTGGGTCATGATATTAAAGATTTTGATGATATGGGTGCGGTTATCGACCAATCGATAGATTTGTAATTATTTCGTATATGAGCGGTACCCACTTGGTAGCTTGTGCATAATAATACTTCACTTTTATTTAAAAAAATAGGTAAGTCACACTGATCTACATTATAAAACATGATGTCCCATTTCTTGATATGGCCAAATGCTAAAAACTGTTGCTAGTAAGCGAAATACAAGATGTAGTTGCAAGAACAGATGAATAAGAAAATAAAAGACAGGTGTACAAGCAAATCTATTAAGAATGTGAAATTTAATACAAAAGAGAAATGTAAGAAGCTAATCATGACTTGCATCATGAAGCTTTGCATGAAGAATCAAGCCTAATCAATAATCAGAACCTCACAAATCAAGGGCAGCGACAGAAGGCATTTAAAAGTTACCTTACATCCTTCAGCATCTTGCTCAGTGGCAAGGGCTTGAAGAAATCAGGCAGCACTTCCATTACCCCCAACATCATGCTTGAGATCTAATAGCTCAAATATCAAGCTCTCATCACGTGCAAGGTCCAAGAATACCTCCTAAAACCCACAAACACAAAATCAATCATTCACAATAGTTGATAAGTATGCAAAAAGAAAGTTTCTTCTTGAGGGACAGAATAGCATAAAGATAGCATAAACCAAGAGCAATCTGATGATCAGCAACTTGGCAAATGCTACTCACATCCTACAATTAAGCCAACGAAAAACCAATCACCAAAATGTAACCATATCAATCAACTAGGATTACAAAAAGAGGAGCACAACATCAAAACTATGAAACCACTTTGCCAGCAAACAGTTAACCTAACCTCAAACCTGAGAGGGAAAGGTACTAGAAATTGTACCACCCAATAGAGGCCGTTCTTATTAGAAATCTCCAGATATCTTTACATTTAATAACAATTTTCCTTCACAAATTAACCACTCAAAAAATATCAAAACCAATAATCTTAACGCAAAAGAAACTATAGATTGAATAACTGTATAATGAAAAAATTGACATGAAAAACAATTTGAAATGCCTAGCA